TCCCTGTGTTTCCATTGTCACTCGTTCTGCTTTCCCCTCCACCTCCCGTGGTGTGTGTGTGTGTGTGTGTGTGTGTGTGTGTGTGTGCTTTGTTATTGCTCCCCTTAAACACTGGGACTCAAAACTGCCATTGAGTTCATGGAGACATAGCAGGTCGCACTCCCCTTGTGGGATTCAGAGACCTTAGCTCTTTATGGGAGTAGAAAGCCCTTTCTTTCTCTCTCGGGGCATCTGATGCTTTCCAACGCTGCCCTTGTAGTTAGTAACCACCTTGTAACCCTTACACCACAGGGCTCCTGAAGACCTGGGGCAGTGGGGTATTTGAAAATTCCCAAATCATGGTGCTTGGCAGCAGACTGCTTTGGTGTTGTCCACGGAGGGATGTGGAAAGTTGAAGGAGCCCCAGAATGACCTTGGGGCACATGAGTGATGATGGACCAGGGAGATGATTCCTATGACCGGGCCCTATATCCTCTGGTCCACTCTGACTGCCTTGGGAGACCCCTGTGGTTACTCAGGGCTGGAGGATGGAGGATGGCAGGGTTCGCAGTTGAGCTGGCAGAAGTGGAACCTGCACTGACGACTGGCCTAAAGGGATCTCACGAAGAGTCAGTAACTTCTGTCCACGGGGCACTAGCATGGGTGGCTTCATTCCTTCTGAGGTGGTGGAGGGGCGGAGAAAGTAGTATAGAACATAGAGTCTGCTGTGTCATGCCTCCTGGGTCATCAGGGGCTGGGAATTTGTGTTTACTGATTTACCAGGCTCTAGGGGACTCAGGACCCTCCTCCTCTCAGCGGGACAGAACAAGGTTATTGGGCAGTGCCTGCTTGCTGGGTGGACCAGCTGAGTCCACACAGGCCTGGGTGTGAGCATGGAAACCCGTTGTCAAGCCCCCATGCAGAATGGCCCAGAACCAGCCTCTTTAGTTGGGGATTAGGAGAGACTGGGGGGTGGGGGTGGAGATGAGTGGGGATTTAGGGGAAGCAGAGGGAAAGGGGGTGACAATTGATCTCACACCTGTCTCAAAGATTTTCATTTTGCTTATTGCCCACCCCCCACCAGCATACACTCCCTTTTCTTAGCCAGTTCCCCTCTCTACATGCCCCACAAATAGGACAGCCCCCTCTAACACACTGGGATGTGTTCCTCTTCCATGAGCCCCTAGAACCTCCAAGCCAGGACCCTCCTCATACTGACTGCCCTCCCTCCCACGTTCTCCTCCACTCACTGCTCCGCAGGAACGTAGCCATCCACCAAAGGGCTGCACTCCACGCCGGCCACCTTGACGTAGGAGGCGATGTCCCGGAATTCCAGACCCAGGTTCTCCCCTCGGATGGTGACCTTGGTGCCGCCTTCCCGGGGCCCCGTCACTGGAATTATCTGCACAAGAAGGGAGACGATGGGACAGGTTCTCTGCTGTGAAGATCACCTCCGGGGTACCCTTCATCTGTGCCCAGTCATGCCCTGCTAGCAAGACGTGCATTCCCATTGCTGCCCCTGGCGTGCGGGTGATCTACATTGTCTTCAAAGACCCCAAACACACTGCCCCCATGCTGATTCGGAAGCACGGCGAGGACAGAGTAGAAACCGCCCCATTGGGTTTCCCAGGCGAAACATCTTTATGGGAGTAGACAGCCTCTCCTTTCTCCCTTGGAGCGGCTGGTGGCTGGGTGGGTTTGCACTCTGACTTGCTGGCTAATAGCCCAATGCTTAATGCACTGTGCCCTCCAAGCTCCTTAATTCACCTCCAGGGGCTGGCATCCCCTTGGCTTCGCCGTGCATGCTTATAACAATGATGATGCCGGAGTTGGGCAAGGAGCTAAGTTTGCTGTGTGACCTTTTACCATGCCTGGGACTCTCCTGGCAGAGGGAAGTGAGGAAGCCGAGTCACAGGAAACAGGCCCTGAGCCACCTGCACTTGGGCGGCGGGCTGGGACTCAAAGCCTGCTCCCTGAGGCCCAGATACCTGCAGGCTGGTCTCCGCCTTGACCCTTCTGGGTCTTTCTCCAGGGCCCTGTGTTCAGGCCACCTGAATTAAGCCCCAAAGCCCTCCCGCCCACCTTATATCTTCTGTGAGTCTCTCTATTTCTACCTGCTCCACTGACCTGGGGAGAAGACAGGCCTTGGGCGGGCTCTGACCCTGGGCACCCACATAGCAACCTCCCGGGCTGCCCACTGGGTAGAACAGCCCCAGGGGGGGACCTCTATCTTAAAGGGCTGTAGCTGGGGCTTGATCCTCTTCAGTGATTGGCATGGGGCTCCCAGAAGTGCAGCCTCTGCCCTAGTCTTCCCGAGGTCCAGAGGGGCACAGGGACAGAGCAACCAAGTCCAATTGAGATGCCAGGCGGGTAGGGTCACCAGGTCTGCCCCAATGGTCCGGATGCTGCCACAGTTCTTAGCCATGCCTCCTCCCAGTGGGCAGGGCCCGGTGGCCACTCCCCTACCTACTCCCCGCTACCCCCTACCATGGGCGTGGTAAGACCACTATCCTGAGCATGCCCTCCCCCACCCCCCATGGGCAGGGTCTGAAGCTCACCTCTGTGATGCGCGGGTGGGTGCACTTGCTGTTGGCACCAGAGAGTTCCAGCCACTGGCTCTCGTGGGGCGGGCAGTGCTGGCGCAGGGTGCACCTGCCCTGGCCCTGGCACCAGCCACACTCGAAGTCTGGGTCAGCCTTGAGACACAGCCCGCAGCTCTCCCGCATCGCTCCACACTTGTACAGGTGGACTGCGGACAGAGGGCAGGGCTTGGAGAACTCCACCTGGGCAGTGGGGTCACCTGGGCCATTGGGATGGGGAGTTGCCCAACCTTTGGGTCTGAGCAGAGGATGTGGCAAGAAGCCCTCTCCAGTCTGGGCTGTCCCCAGGGACACCCGCCAGTGCCTAGAAGCAGCCTGAAGGGAGGTGAGGAGGCCAGAGGTCCAGGCCACCTTGCAGCTGGGGGCCGAGTGACAGGGGCCAAGGAGCCCGGGTGCCGTGTCCACCCCCCCAACTCCCACCGTCCCGCTGGCTCCGCACCTTTGTTCTGAGCCGGGTTGTCGATGTTGAAATGCCCGTTCCACACGACTGTCAGCTCCACCGGCAGGTTGTTGATCTCCATGCCCTCATAGGAATACTGCAGCCGTGGGAGACAACAGTGAGTCACACGGGGCCTCGGGAGGGGGTGGGGCCGGGGAACCAAGACTGTGTGCATGTGTGTGTGTGTGTGTGTGTGTGTGTGTGTGTGTGTGGTGTCACACAGTGGGAGTGGGGGTCAGGAGCTATGGGAGGTAGAGCAGAGAGGGATCTGACCTGGGGTGTCACCAACTGGGATGTTAGTTGGAGGTGTGAAGTTCCCAAGGCATACATGGGGGTGGGGGGTGAGCTGCCTGAGGACCAGCCGCGGGTACCCCTCCCTCCACACTTGCTGAGTCCCTTCAGCTAAGGAGTGAGGGGCTGCTGGGTATAGGGGTGTGGTCCTCAGGTATGCAACCCCCAGTTTGCCTTCAGATGGCAACTGCATCTCAGCACCCCTGAGTAGGGGCAGGCTCCCTGGTTTGCTTGAGGAGTGGTCTAGAGAGCATTTGGGGGTCATCTGGGGCAGTGGAAGGACTTGACCTGAAACCAGGATGGCTGAGCCAACAGGGTCTCTTAACTTGAAGATAGACTTTGGGGAGGGGCTGTTAGGCAGTGCTGCATGACTTAGCTGCCTGGAATTATTGGGGGGGAGGTGCACCGGCAGGTGCAGTAGCCCCAGGGGATCCATGCTGGTCTGCAGGCAGCTCCGTGGCTCTGTATGCCTTGGAGACTGAATTCCAGGTATAACTGCAGGTGTCCCCTCAGAATGGACCCCCTCAGCTAGACATGGGAGGGGCTGGGCTGTGTACAGGAGCCCTGGTGGTATCGTGGCTCTGTATTGGGCTGTGATCTGCAAGATTAGCAATTCAACACCACCAGCCGCTCTTTGGGAGAAAGCTGGGGCTCTCTGCTTCCTTAAAGAGTGACAGTCTCAGAAACTTACGGGGCAGTTCTACCCTGTCCTACAGGGTCACTATGAGTCAGCATGGACTCGATGGCAATTGAGGGTTTTGAGTTTGGGGACTGTGTGGCAGCCGCCTAATGTCCTAATGTCCCCTCAGCCAGCTGAAGCACCTCCACCAGGAGCAGACAGCTAGTCTCAGGCCTGAGAGAGTCCTGCCCTTGACATAAGAACTAGACACAAGGGCAAGAGCAGAAGTTTCTACGGGAGAATCCAGGTGACTTCTGGAGTGATAGCATGCGCTCCCAGGTGAAGGGCTTCTGGCCCGTCCTCACTCAACACCGCTGGTAGAACATGTTTTCTCAGCTTCTTTAGGGGAGATCCTGGGGGGGGGGGCTGGATAAAAGAGGGCCCCCCTTCCCCCTGTCCAGTTCCAGCTTAGCCCATGCAACTCACAGTGCCCCAAGTGCCTCAGAGGAGGATGGGTTCCACAGGGTTTCCAGTGGTTGAATTCAGGGAGGCAGATCACTAGGCCTTGCGTTTGAGGTGCCTCTGGTAGACCTGAGCACCCAGGCTTTTGCTTATCCGCTGAGCCCACAACCATTTGCACCACCATCCCGGGACTGGTTGCCTGCTTGGGAGGCAGCATTAGAGGGGGGGAGGTGCCCATCTCTAGGGGGGTGCTGGGGGAGGCCCCCTCAGGATTGGGGCTATCTTCTGCCTCCCAGGCTTGCCTCTGTCCAGGCCTAAAGCCCAGGGCCACGTTGAACCTCCTGGCTCCTCTCAAGAAGGACCTGAAGGCCCCCGGAGGCGTTCTGCCTGTGTGAGGTGTCCTCACGTTAATGAGGCCCCTCCAGCCATGACTCCTCCTGTGATGTGTTAACATGCTGAACTCAGTGCCTGTAGCGATAGTCCCATTCTGGAGGGAGTTCTCTGTTACGGAGAGGGAGCCCTAGTGGCGTAAGTGGCAATGCGCTGGGCTTCAAACCACTAGGTCAGCAGTTCGAAACCACCAGCTGCTCCTTCGGAGAAAGATGGGGCTTTCTACTCCCATAGAGAGTTACAGTATCAGAAACCCACAGGGCCTGTTTTGCCCTGTTCTAAAGGGTCGCTGCGAGTCAGCATCAACTTGATGGCAGCGAGCAATAAGCCCTCTTCATTATGAGGACGGCCTCTGAGCTCTGTGTGACCGTTGCCAGGAATTCTCAAACCCAGCAGAGAAGCAGTTATGGGGTCGGAGAGGGTAAAGAAAGATGGAGGGTGGAGGCCTGTCCGACAATGCCTCTTGGCAATAGCGAAGTCAGAGGAGGTCATACATGGCCTCCAGGGCCTTTTACCACACTGTGTTCATATGTGTGCTTATCTGCGAGGTTAGTGCATGCATCTATGTATCTGTGTGATCTGCATGTGTATGTACATGAGTGTGTACAAACACCACACACACATACACATATGCTGCCAGGAAGGGGCATGGCCGGTTGTCAGCTGTGTGAGCATGAGCAGATTCTCTGAGCCTCAGTTTCCCCTTCAGTAGTGGGGGCAGGAGCTAGGCCTTGCCTCCTGGGAGGGCCATGCCCAGCGCGCCCTCTTAGAGCACAGAGCCGGTACAGATAGCCTGACGTGTCTCCAGCAATTTCTGCATGACACACAGACCTGTGCTCCTGGTGCTCATGTTGACCTGGGATAATCAGAGCATGTTGAGTGCCAGACACTACACATATGGGAGCACATGCATTCGAGGGCGCTCCTGTGTTCCGTACGCGCCTGCACACTTTCTCCCTTTGCAGAAAACTGAGAATGAAGATGATTTCCACATTCGCTGTCATCCAGTGGATGCTGACTCGTAGTGACCCTATAGGACAGGGTAGAGCTAGCCCTGGGAGTGTCCCTGACTGTAATTGTTTATAGGAGTAGAAAGCCCCATTTTTCTCCCTTGGAGCCACTGGTGGTTTTGAACTGCTGACCTTGAGTTTAGCAGTGCAATGCGTAACCACGAAACCACCAAGGCTCCTGGGCATGACCTTCTTGTTCCTGTCCCACCTCCTGAGATCCTGACGATGAAATAATACAGATGTCATTAACCCAGGTGTGCCCCACTGTCCCCCTCGGCCTCTAGGGAACCCCCAGTTGGTCCTGGATGGAGGAGATAGGTCTCCATGCTCCTCCCTCTGGGCTCCAGGTACGTGGGATCCACTTAGCATTTATATAACTCCCTGTGATCAACAGGGCAGGCAATCTGCACACAGTGCTGGCTCTGGGCGGATATGTTTCTGGATCCCAGAGGCCAAGAGTTAAGTGTCTATCAAGGTTTCTCATGATGGCCAGGCTGGTGGGTGGCTCCACTGGTTACCCCGGGCAAGTGTGACCCTCAGGGTCTCCAAGTCCTAAAACAAAGAGCCAACACCCCTCTTGCTTAGACAGGCTTCCGCCCAACACCTCTCTTGCCCCAAGCACTGAGATACTGGCCTAGGAAGTGGGTCTGACCTGTGGATGACTTGGTCCCAGTGCAACACTGACCGCTCCTGCGGCGTCCTCACACTTGTTGGGTTCTCTGAGCCCATTGTTACAGCCACCGTGTCCATCCATCATGTAGCAAGGCTTCCTCTTTACCCAGCATGCTGTCCTTCCCCCCGGGGCTGGTCCCTCCTGTTCACATGTCCAAAGCACACGCCGCAGAGCCCCACCAGCTTCCCTGCTAAGGAGCATTCTGCCTGTACTTCCAGGACCGCTCTGTTACTTTCTTCACCAGCACCGTGATTCAAATGGTCCATTCTGCTCCACTTCCTCATCCATTCTCCAGCTTCTGCTTGTCAAGGAGACAACTGACGATACCAGGGCCTGGATCTTCATGCTCAAAGTGACACAGTTACTCTCTGACACGTTAGAGGTCTTGGGCAGTAGGTGGCCCAGTGTCTTAACATCCTTTGATTTCTTTTTGTCTTTCTTTCATTTTTTTGGTTTTGTTTTGTTTGTCACTAAAGATTCCAAAAGGTTTCCTTTTCCTTTTTAAAATTAATTTGATTTTTAAAAAGTTTTAGCTAATCAGGCCACTATTTAGGTTGAGGGATTGGGAATCTGAAGGGATTTTGTTTGTTGGTTGATTTGGAAAGAAATACTATATGAGGGAATACCAAAAAAGCAAACTGGAAAAAATGTTTCAAAGTTATGTATTCTAATTTTTTTTTATAACAAATCAGCCTTATCACCTTCAAAGTACTCTCCACGACACTTAATACATTTGTCAACTCTGTGATTCCATTCTTGGAAGCATTTTTTAAACTCATCTGTGTGGATGGTTGACAGCACCTCCCTCGCTTTTATCTTCGCCTCTTCTGTGTCATCAAATTGCTGTCCTTTCATGTCCCTCTTCATTCAAGGAAACAAAAAGAAGTCCCATGGAGTGAGGTCAGGTGAGTCAGGTGTGTGGGGCAAAAGAGGCATGCTGTTTTTTGCCCAAAACTGGTGCACTGAGATGTCTGTGTGAGCAGGTGCATTGTTGTGGTGCCAAAACCAGTACCCTGTCTGCCACAAATAAGGCCTTTTTTGTCCCACACTGTTATGCAATCTTTTCACAACCTCCAAATAGAAAGCTTGATTAACAGTCTGACCTGTTGGAATGAACTCCAAATGTACTATAAGTCAACATTTTCGTCCGTTCAGGAAGTTGACAGATGTCCAAAATGAGGTTTTTCATCAATTGACATGTCACCTTTTTTGAAACAAGAAAACCACTCGTACACTTGAGTTTTTCCCGTAGTGCTGTCCTTGTAAGCTGTGTTCAACATCACAACAGTTTCTGCATTTTTCCTGAGCAGGAAACAAAATTTCACAGCCACAAGCCATTTTCTTAAATTGACCATCACTAAAAATGAGATTGGAGGGAAACTGCTTCTATGAAAAATTCAGTGACCAGCGAGAACCTTCTCAGGTGATGCCACGAGGTGCACTAATTCAGAGCGAGTTGCATGATGCTTGTTTAGCATGAAAATGCGTACTACAAAAGTTCCGCTCGGCCCAGCCCAATTCGGTTTTCTTTGGGGGGAGGGCAAGGTACCCCCTCATATATATTTACACAACCCATCTTGAGAAATGAAATCAACAACAATATCCTATCTGGAGGGTGGAACAGGTTATGTGGTTCTCTTTCTCTCCCCCAGCCCCTGTCCTCCCTCCCTACTCAATAGCCTATCCTTCCCCTTGCCCCCTGCCTGCGCCGTCCCATATCATTTGATTTCTTGGCTGCTGCTTCCAAGAGCGTGATTGTGACTCCAAGTGCAATGAAGCCCTTGGCCACCCGATGTGCTCTCCGTCCGTCAGGATGGGGTCTGTGGGTCCCGTGGCGAGGAGGGCTTTTTGTTTTCTCTATGTTCCCTCATTACACAGAACCAGCACCACCTGGAGTGGCTGGCACAGGAGGCGGGCATGGCTGCCATGTCCACACTCATGGCCACTGAGCCACCTCATTGTTGAAGCAGGAGGGGCATGCCACCTTCCCAGCACTGTCCAGCCCCACCTTGCCACAGTAAATAAAGGGACCCACCAAAATCAGGAGGCTGTGGTGGTCTAGTGGGGTCCAGGTCTCATGGCCAGCACCCCAGCCAGCCTGCCAGGCAACGGGGCAGGGTTGCCAATGGCTGAGAGCTGGTGCCTGGTGCTATTCTTAGCAGCACTTGACATTTTCTTGAGGCTCGGTCTATGTAGGCCATCCATACCCACACTTAGTCCCCCTACAGTTACTGCCTGCACATCTCTCAGGCCTCTGGGCAACAATGACTGGCCCAGGGCCTGTCCCCCCATGGGGGCTAGGAGCAGCTTGCCTGTCCCCCTAAATCCAGCATCATGCTCACACTGGGTTTCCGAGTTACCCATCCTTTATCTGCTCACCGAGACCCCATTGTCTCCTCCTTGCTCCATCACAAGCCCAGGGGTCTCCCTAATAAGAGCTTCCCTCCTCCCCTCTCCTGAGACCCAGGGATTCAGGAGGGCCCTTGTCTTCCACACAGTCCTGGGGTGCAGGCCAGGCAGATCATGGTCCTAGCACTAAGCCCCAAACTAGGCTATGCAGGGCTGAGCTGATATCTATTTCTATACTTATATCTATGTATACATTTACATCATGATGTATACACGCATATAGACACATATACCTATACACATACATACATACATATCTCCCAAAACCAAATTCACTGCCATCAAGTCAATTCTGACTCATACCGACCCTATAAGACAGGGTAGAACTGCCCCTGTGAGTTTCAGAGACTGCAATTCTTTAGGAGAACAGAAAGCCCTGTGTTTCCTCCCAGGAGTGGCTGGTGATTTCCAACTGCTGACCTTGCAGTTAGGACCCCAATGTATAACTACTATGCCACCATGGCGTCTCTCTCTCTTTATATATATGTATAAAGGTATAGATAGATACATATTAGTCTAATCATTGACTACTACATGGTATGATATGGGTTTAAATTCTGCATTTGCTACTTTAGTGCCGAGCACCATAGGGGCTGGTCACTTGTCCTCTCTGGGACTCAGCATTCCCTGTTGTATCAGATGATCAGGTCCAGTCTTGCTCTGATGGCCCAGGAGGACTGACACTGAGTGTGACGCTAAGGATTCTTAGAGAAAATGATTGGATGACCAGAGGCGCCTGGGTTAGACCAACAGTTAAAGTAGGGCCTTTCTGTCTCCAGGGAAAGAGGTTTCTTGGAAAAGGCAGGGCCAATTCCAGGTATTGGAGGGGACTCCTACTGGACTAGGGTTTGTGGGGTACCCCTCCTTTTAGCTCAGCTTCACTTGAAAGCTTTGAAGTGTTGGCACCCCCATTCCCATCTCCTCAATAGGGAGGCTGAGCAGACAGCTGAGCCTGGTTGGCAGGGTAGAACTGCCCCTGTGAGTTCCCAAAACTGTAACTCTTTACAGGAGTAGGAAGTCTCATCTTTCTCCCGTGGAGCAGCTGGTAGGTTTGAACTGCTGATTTTACATGTTGTGGAATTTGGAGCTCCAGGCCTCCAGCTCCAATACCATAGGCTTCCCTCTTTCTCTAAGAGGGAGACCTGGAGTGAGTGCCAGGGCCACACTCTTGGGAGGCTGCACCCTGGGAGGCCATGCCCCAGGATCACACCGTCAGAAGACCACACCCCCAAGAAGGTCACACCTTCAGGAGGCTAGCCAGTGTATGTTGAGGCCCCTGAGATGCTAGAAGCACCAAGCTTCCAGGTGCATAGCCACCCGGCACATTTTCTGGCGTAACTAGTGAGCCTTAGAGCATTGTGTGTTTGTTGGTATGTCTGGTCCTCTGGTCTTTGGTGAAGCGTGACTTCTTCCTTCAGTACCATCTGCTCTTGATCATGTACCAGTCCCAGAAATGGGTGATGGTTGACCAGTTCGTTTGAGTAGAGCAATTCCCTCTAGTCCTTCTTCTTTGGTCGCCTTACCTACAGAATCCTTCAGTTTGGCAAGTCAAGGCTTTGCTTTTCCCATCAGTTCTTTGAGCTGGCCAAATGCCCAGAGTGTCCTCTCCTTGTTGTATTCTAATCACCCCTTCTGGTTTTCCTTAAATCCCAGGAATTCAGCACCAGACCCACAGAGGCCGACTGGAACCTGTTCCATCTTGTTCCCAGGGGGCGCTGGTAGGCGCCAGGACAGGTGTGTCATCTGGACATCCTGGAGGGCCCTGCCTGCCTCACCTGGGGCTCTATAGCTGGGAGGCTTATGCTTTGCTCCCATTGGAGAACTTTTTGGGCAGCTAAAGGTCTTGGTGGTCCAGTGGTTACTGGCTGGGCTGATAAAAGCAAGGTCGGCAGTTTGAAACCACCAGCTGCTCCATGGGAGAGAGGCGGGTCTTTCTGCTCATCAGCATTTGCAGTCTCGGGTGCTCCCAGGGGTAGTTCTACCCTGTCCTATCGGGTCATTATGCATCGCCAGTGACTTTATGTTTTTAACGCCCTTTCAGCGGGCTCAGGAACTGCTGGAGACGTTTAAGCTCGGCCTGCTCTCTGGAGAAGAATACTGAAAGACCAGTAAAAGGACAACACGCTCTGTCTTGGAAGAATTCCGGTCAGAGTGCTCCTTAGCGGCAAGGATGGCGAAACTCTATCTCACATGCTTTGGACATGCTGTCAGGAGAGGGCAGTCCCTGGAGAAGAGCGCTATGATTGGTAAAGTGGGAGGGGACAGAGAAAGAGAGGAAGGCCCTCAAGAGAGGATTTGACACAGTGGCTGCAACAGTGGGTTCGAGCAGAGGAACGGCGGTGAGGATGGTGCAGGACCAGGTAGGGTTTCATTCGGGTGTGTGTAAGGTCACTAGGAGTCGGAACCAACTCGGCGGTAACTAGTAACTAACAACAAGCTCTGCATCCCGGCTGCATGGAGAATGGCAGCATGAGCCAGTGGGCCCTCCGAGAGGCCCAGGTCAGCCCAGGCCCAGACCGAGTTTGATCTATGGCTTTGCAGAGCCAGGTCAGGGCATGCCTGGGAAGGCAGCCTTCTACTGGGCAGAGTAAGCCAAAAGGGGACCCTGAAGCCCCAACTTGAGAAGTTTGTGCCCTTCCCTCAGATAGCTGAGGCTCCTCATCAGATGAGCCACAGGCTCTGTACCCGCCTGATGTCCTGGGACCTTCTCCCAGGTAACGGGACTCTTTCTACATGCTCGAGGTCCCACCTGACTTCCTCCAGATCCCCTGTGGGAGCCAGGTCTTGGCTTCCCACACACTGGCTGATTTTGGGAGAGTCATTTTAGCCAACCCAATTCTGACTCCTTGCGACCCCAAAGGACAGAGTAAAACTGCCCCGACAGATTTCTGAGACTGTACCTTTTCTTTTTGCGGGAGTAGAAAACCTTTTCTATCTCCCAGAAGCAGCCGGTGGTTTCGAACTGCTGACCTTGCATTTAGCAGCCTGATGTGTAACTTTATATCCTCAGGGCTCCTCAGATAATAGTGTCCTGCAAAAGGTGTGCCCCCTTGAAACCTCAGAATGTGACCTCGTTTCGAAATGGGGTCTTTGCAGATGTGGGATCAGTTAAAATGAGGCCGCCCTGGATTCCTGTGGGTGCAAATTCCCAATGTGATTGGGTTCTGGGAGGAGGGCAAGGCGGTGGGCGGGGCATGTGAGGGTGGGCGTGGCGGGAGGGGCACTCACCGAGGTGTTCTGGCATTGCACGCTGGAGCTGTTGAAGCGCAGGGCGGGCACCCGCTGCTGGGTGCCCTGGATGCTGAGCACGCACTCGTAGCCCCGCTGGCCTGACTGCGGCTGGGGCAGGTTCTTGGCCTTCAGAGTAATGGGCTTGATCACTTCCACTGGCACCAGGATCTTGTCCACGCGCAGCAGCTGGGGGCAGTCCTGAAGGTAGAGAGCTCAGGTCAGTCAGGTGTTTGGAGCCTCTCTGACATCACCTGGCTGGCGACCTTGGCCTCACCCATGGACGTTACACAGCTGTACATGCAGGCACACATTTGCATATATGAGTACATACGAGTATATATATACACACAGGTACACACAGGCACAGATGGGCACACACACAGGTGCACACAGACACAGGTGCACGCAGACACGCAGGTGCACACAAGAGGCTCATGGATGCACAGAAGCACAGGTGCACATGAGCACAGGTGCAGAGAGATACTGGTGCACACAATATGTATGTGGGTGCACACAGATACAGGTGGACACATGCACACATGTGTGCTCAGGTGTGGATGCCGATGTTCACACTTCCTTAGAGACAGGTGGTCCGTGTCCTCCTGGCCACCCCGGCCTCCTGAGGGAAAGGATGGCCCAAAGAAACTCAGGCACCAGAGACACCATCTGAAGGTTGTCCATTCATGGGCTAAGTCTGGTGTTTAGGAATGTTCTGGAACGTGCCTCTATCTTCCAGAAGCTTTGGACTGTGTGGCGGGGTAGCCTGGCCTCAAGGCAGTGCCCCATGGCAGAGCACACTGAACCACTCCTGAGTGCCACAGACAGTTATGTCTCTCTGCATCCTGTGGGGGCAGTCAGCTCAGCTCTGTCCAGGGAGGGCCACTGGTGAGAAAGGAGTGGGGGCTCTGCCCAGTCGGGCGGGGGAAGCAGATGTACCGCTCATCCCTTGGGTAGGGGAGTCAGTGGGCTTGGGGCTGAAGACCATGGGAAGAAGTGAGGACTCCTGTGACCTTCGTGCCAGGCAGGTCCCACCTGGCCAGGACCCCTCCAGGGCACAGTGTGGGGCGGGCAAGACCAGAGGCACCCGAGATGGCCAGTCCATCCTGCCTGGACATGCCTCTGCACGGCCCACCGAAGGCTCTGCACAGCCCACTGAAGGCTCTGCACAACCCACTGGAGGCTCTATACAACCCACTGAAGGCTCTACAGCGGCTCCCCCAATCTCGCCCTCAGTCCCAGCAGAGAAAAGCAGATAGGAGGCCAAGGGCTGAGGGCACACTCATCAGGAGACTGACAGCTGCCCTTCTCACACCCCCATAGAGCAACCATGACCCCGCCTCTCCCTAAAGCACACATGTCCCAGAGAACTCCCCAACACCATAAGCTGTGAGGCTCCACAGAACCAGCACAATGACCTTGAGTGCCTTGTGTCCTTGGCGTGAGGCTCAACTGCCCTACCTGCTGATGAGACGGCACTCCAAGGACCCTCCCCCACACTCTATCCAGTCCAGATTCCGTGTTCTTGGGGTCCCCCACTGCCCTCCTAACCATCCAACCAGCACAGGGCAGGACAGGGAGGCTGAGTAAGGGGCAGAGGAAAGGAGGAGAGAGAGAGAACTGGACAGGAAGCTGAGAAATAGGGAGAGAGAACACAAGAAGCTGGACAGGACGCTGAGAGATTGGGGGCGGGGGGAGGGGGGAGACAGAGAAAGGTGTACAGAAAGCCAAGAGACAGAGAGATAGAAAGGTGTACAGAAAACTGAGCAATGAGGGGAGAAAGAAACAGGGATAAATGATAGATAGATAGATAGATAGATAGATAGATAGATAGATAGATAGATAGATAGATAGATAGATAGATAGAGTGAGTGATGGACAGGACCCTGAGAGATAGGGGGGAGAGAGAGAGAAAGGTGTACAGAAAGCAGAGAGACAAGGAGAGAGATCGAGAAAGGTGGACAGGACACAGAGGGAGAGGAGAGACACACGGAAGAAAGGTGGGCAGGAGGCCGGGAGACAGGGAGAGCCTGAGGAACAAGAACTCTCCCACAGGTGGGCCTGCGGGGAGCTTGTGCTTTTATGAATAATGTCCCTCCAATAGGGATAGAAATCCTAAGCCCTGGTCCTGCAAATGTGAACCTGTTTGGAAATAGGGGAGTTTCTTTTTCTTTAGCAGTAAGGCCCAATCAGTGGAGAGTGGATTCCAAACCTAATCATTTCTGAGTTCCAAAAAGACAAGGACACACACACATACACTAAATCCAAACCCACTGCCATCAAGTCACAGGGACTCCCTGTAGGGTTTCCAGGCTGTAAATCTTTACATGAGCAGACAGCCTGGTCTTCCTCTGGTGGGTTTGAACTGGTGATCTTGTGGTTAGCAGTCCAATCTTAACCAACAGTGAGTCTCACTAGGGTTTACACACACACACACACACACACACACACACCACACGCACGCACGCACACGCCACTATGTGAAGCTAGACCCACAGCCAATGGACCTTCAAGCCCAGCAACACCAAGGATCCTGAGGACCGCAGCTCCTGGAGGCTGAAATAAACAAGGTTGGGTCTTCCTTGGAGCCAGGCCCTGCCTGCCACCTCCCAAACTCCCGAACTTTGAGGCAAGAGTACTTGTGGTTGCAAGTCAGCTTGTGGTGTTTGTATTACAGCAGCGCCAGGGGATTTACAGCGGAGACCTGGTAGCACACGGTTGAGCTCTCTGCTGCTCATTGGGAGGGGAGAGGCTCAAACCCACCCCATAGATCTGAGGGAGCAAGGCCTGGTGATCTGTTTCCATAAAGGTTTCAGTCAAAAAGATGCGAGTCAGAGGATACCACTCTGCCAGACAGGATGGCGTGAAGCAGAGTCAACTCAAAGGCACCCAACGGGGACCCCGGATGGGAGCCCTGTGAGCGCTGGTTTCCCAAACAAGCTCTTCTTCCTCCCTTCCTGGTGGCCCACACCTACATCCAGAGACCCTATGGGGCCCAAAGAAGCACCACTTCAAGCACCCCCCCCGCCCCCCAGCTGCCAAGCTGGGAAAGTGGAGGGCCACTTAGAAGACCTGAGTGAGTTTGTGGGGAGGATGAAGCTGGCAGGTGGCAGGATGAACAGGGAACTGAGAAAGCGTTGAGCGCAAAGCCTTCCTCATCATTCTGCCCCACCCCTCCCTCCACTAGAGGCCACAGCTCTCCTCTCCGTGCCCCCGCCCCCACCCCGCCCCCAAGCAGGAGCACATGGGACCTTCCCTCCCTGCAGCTGGGCCTGTGGTTTCCTTTGAGGAAGAGCTGGACTGGCACTTCTAGCTCTGCCTCCCACATCAAGATGGCATAGGGTGGGCAGCTGCAATCTGCAAGTCGTCCGGGCTCACCCAGTGGGCTCCTTCCACACTACCCAGAAGAAATTGAGGCAGGGAGAGAAGAAATCTTGGCTCAGTGTCCGAAGAGAACCTGGTAACTGAGGAACTCAGAGGCCAGTGCTCAGCAGAACTGCCTGCGTCTAGTGGGACAGGGAATGTCCAGCCCCTGCAGTGCTGGACTGGAACCTCGCTGGGAGGCTGGATGGCATTAGCTTGCACCCTGGTTGGAGCCCTGGTGGTGTAGAGGTTACCAATTGGGCTGCTAATCGCAAAGCCAAGTTTGAAACCACAAGTAGATCTGCAGGACAAAGATGAGGCTTTCTACTCCCGCAAAGAGTTACAGTCTTGGCAACCCACAGGGGCAGTTCTCCCCTGTCCTAGAGGGTCGCTATGAGTTGGCATCAACTTGCTGGCAGTGAGTTTGGGGTATTTTGGGGGTTTGGGTGGTGGTGGTTGGAAGCATAATCCCCACTCTCGTCTCCACTGGGTCAGGCTTCATAGGTGTTCTCTAAGCCTTGATGGTTCACAATCCCTATAAAGCCTAGTTCGCCTGTCAGAAGGTGGACAACTCTGAAAGTTCGTGCAGGGCCCAAGGTTGAGCCTCTGCACTTGGCTCTGGTGGCACCACTGATACCCTGCTAACTGAAATGTGAGCAGACACACTCTTACTCTCACTGTGAAGGGGCAGCTCCTTTACTACCCTGCGGGTCCATCCGTCCCACCTTGTTTCTCCAGTCCTGACCCGCACGGTGCTGAGGTTCCAGGGACACAGTCTCACACTCGTGGGAGGCAACACCCACAGGAAGCTCTTTGCTTCTCCCGGACCCCAGTCGGTGGCGCTGGTGAGCACCCTGCTGCTGCCCTGGTCCAGGGAGTCACACCACATTGGCTTTGGTTCTCCCCCTTTGAGACCCTGGACTTGGAAGATGCTGGGGGAGCGGCCATGGATGGGGCGGTGACATCCAGGGTTCTTACTGGCTCGTGTTTTGGAAGTTGATCAAGTGGACTTCCCCCTCGTCTGTCTCAGTCTAGAAGCCACAGAAGGAAATAGCTTCACCTTCTAGTAACTGGTAGGTTGCAGCCAGGAGTCCGTCAAACCCCCAACCAAACTCCCTCCCGTGCAGTCGGTGCTGACTGAAGGCAGCCCTACAGGGCCAACAAAACTATCTCTGTGGGTTTCTGAGACTGTAACTGTTGAGGGGACTAGAAAGCCCCATTTCTTTCCCACCAGAAATTGTGGCAGCCAGGAGTCCCTGGGTGGTGCACATTGTGTCAAAAAGGCGGGAAGTCTTAGGCCACCCCGAGTCACCTTGAGAGAAAGGCCTGGGGCTTACTGCTGAAAACTGACCACCGAAAACCGTCCGGAGTCATTCTGCTGTGACCCACATGGCGTCTCCGCAGGGCGGACCTGACTCTAGGGCAGCCCATCTTCTGTGGGGGTGTCTTGGGCGCTGACTTCCGTCTCTGAAGCACAGTGCCCTGTGTTGTGTCTGGGCTATGAAGCCCCGACATGCCCTGTGAGATGCTAACATCATCAGAGTCAACACAGTTCAAGGGCTCCACCCCCTGACATTCTGTTCCATCATCACCTGACCCCTGGCTCCCTGGGCTCTCTAGGTCCCTAGAACACGCAGGATCACCCCCTTGTCCTCCCAGAAGCAGATAAACTCTGGTCGCCGGGTTCTGTACCCACAGCGAGGGCATCACCCCAGTCCCTGCAGATCTTCATCCTTTCTCAGGTCCTCAGGGGTGATGGCCAGCCTCCAGACTGTTCTTCAGAGGCGTGCTGAAAACCCCCTCTCTCCCCACTCCACCCCCCACCCCCATCCCCCAGCCGCTGCCTTCTTTCCCAGGAGTTCTGTGCCAGGACTGGCCTTCAAGAGCTCCCTGCCACCAAGTCCATGCCTACTCCTATGGTTCTGACAAAGCAAGTCCACGAGACTAGAAACCCTCCTCTTTCCACCCACAGAGCGGCCGGTGGTTTCAAAGGGCTGCCCTTCTGGTTAGCCCAATGGGTGTCACCACTGTGTCCCCAGGGCTCGCAAGGCCAGCCTCAGAAGTGGGCAGGCAGGCACGTACCTGCATTAATAAGATGACTAGGAGGCAAAGGCCTACCGGAGGCGCCAGCCCTCTCGGAGGCCCGTGGGGACATCCTGCAGGTGCAAGCATGGACAGAGGGTGGGAAATGGCCATGGCTGGAGGCCCCAGGAAATCGTTAATGGCTTGACATTGGGGAAGCCGCTCTGGCCAGCCGCGGGTGGTCAGGGTTTTCACACTCCACCACGCGGGCTCAGCCAGGTGAAGCCTGCGTTGCTCACCCTGGGGAGCAAGCGGCAACCCAGGGCCGGTGGGTGGTGGTGGTGATGTTACAGCCAGCGGACGCCTCTCCGTCTAGTCTTCTGCCTCCCACAAGGGCTTCAATGCCCATTTAAATAATTGAACAGAAGGACCCGTGGCAGGGAAAGGCTGCCTTCAGGGTTGGTCTGTCTGGGGAGGGGCTGGATTTACAGTCCCTTCATCCTCCCCTCCCCTGTTGTGTTTACAAGATGAGGGCTCTAATTTCTCTGGGTGGCTACAGAGAGGTTGGGGGTGGGGTGGTGATGCTCTAAGGGAGGGCTGGGGAGGGGGGCGAGGAGGGGTGCAGTACCTGGAGCAGTTCAGGAAGAAGTGACTGGTGATATCCCATTGCCCCTCCTCCCCCAAGTCACCCCAACCCCCATCCATTTGAAAGGGGAGCTACTCCTGGCTCCAACCAAAGCCTGAAATTCACACTCACCTGCCCAGCCCCCTAGTGCCCCCTGACGATGTAACGCATCATATATATTGCTTGCGGTTGCCCAGGTTTATAACGCCATTAGCGTGATCTACGACTGGCCGGTTTATGGACTGAGCACAGTAATACGACAGAAAGGAGCATGGGGCTTTAAAACACGGGGTGGGGTGGGGGGCGAGGGCGGCCTGGCTCTGGTGGGACTGGTGGGCGGTGCAGTTGCCTGAGCAGCAGTCCCATAATGGAATGAATACCTGGGGCGGGGAGCCATGGGGCCGGAAGCTCCAGCTTAGCTGGGTTTGGCTTTGTTTTTCAAAGGGGCGAGATGCTCCTCTGCCAGAAGGGACTGGGGCTATCCCAGGAGGCTGCCTGGCCTTGACTCTGACTTCCCTCCAGACTCCAGGGGGGATGAAGGCCCAGAGGTCAGGCCTTTCCTCACAGTGCGTCCAGCTCCCAGCTCTCCGGTTCTGGGAGACCAACCGCTGGCTGACACGGTGCTGGCTGTGCCTGTCTTCCCAGGAGTATCGACGTGCTAGGGGGGCCTCCCCGGGAACCTTCTTAGCACAGCGTGGTAAATCAGCTAGAAGTCATCCTGCCTCTTTTGATCTGGAAACCACTCTCTGGGTCTGGCTGAACTTCCCGAGGGGCCTGCTGGGACCCTTCCCCGCCAGCCTGCACGGGTGTGGCCGAGGTAGGCTCCCCCTCCAGGCAAAGCCATCCCATCTGGGACCAGAGAACAGCTCCCTTTGCTTTTAAGGTTAGATCAGAAAGAACAGCAAAGCAGCCCACTGAGAATAAATCCTTCCCTTTTTAATACAACCTTCCACCTGCTGCTGGTGTTAAGTGCGGTGACTCGGTTCGGCTCGGCAACCTGAGGACACAACATAAGGACACACTGCCCGGTCTTGTGCAATCGTTCCTCACTGTCGTTCTTAGGTCTGAGCCCATGGCTTCAGCCTGTGTCAATCCATCTGGCGGAGGCGCTTCCACATTTTCACTTTGCCAAACACGGCGTCCTTTTCTAGGGACTGGTTCCCCCTGTCCCCCCAGTGATATGCCCAAGGTGTGTGAGACGGGCCGTCACCGCCCTTACTGCTTCTGAAGAATACCTTCTCCTTCTTCCAAGACGGGTTTTCTGGCTCCTCCGACAACCCGTGGCATATCAGGAACCAGCAATCTCCCTCTGTCTCTCTGGACTTATCGCTTCTCCTTATTTCAGATAGGTGGGATCAGACAGTATGTGTCGTTGGGCTCTGACGGAGTTCACTCCGTGTCATGTTTTCAGTGCTGCGGCGTGGATGGACCTCATTTGTCCGGTGGCTGGGCCACATTCCATTTTCCACCCACCTCCTTTTACTTATCCGTTCATCTGCCCATGGATACTTGAGGCATTTCCCCCTTCGGGGTCCTGGCGAATGGACTGTGTTGAACGCTGGTGGGGTCATATGCATCTGCACTATGCCTCTGCCTACTCTTCTCCTGAGGATGTGCTTAGGCATGGAACGGCAGGTCCTACGGGAGAATGAGTTGCTACAGAGTAGATTGCGACGGACGGTGACACCAGTGTGTCCCAGTAGAACGGTGCGTTCCAGGATTTCCAGGGACTGGTTTTTCCGAAGTAGCTCACCAATTCTTTCTCCTCAGGCACCGCTGGAATCTGCAAGTTTTCCGTGAGCAGCTGAGCGGAGGGATGTGAACAATTGCGGGGGGACTCCTGGGCGGAGTGGTAACAAGTGGTAACACTTCAAGGACCTGCCCATCAGCTCCCTCCCCGGCTGCATCATTCTACATTCTGACCAGCACGGAGCAAGGGTCCCAATGGTGGCACAGCCTCTCCAGTGCTCTTTGTCTCTGTTTAATGGTTACACGTTGAGCTGCTAACTGCAAGGTCAGCGGTTTGAAACCACCAACCTCTCCATGGGGGGAAAGATGGAGCTTTCTACTCCAGTAAAGAGTTAACAGTTTTGGAAACTCACAGGGGACAGTGCTACCCTGTCTTATAGGGTCATTAGGAGTTGGCATAGATTCAATGGCAGTGAGTTTGGTTTTTGGCTTATCCTAGAGGGATGAAGTGGCATCTCACGGTGGTTTTGATTTGCAGATTTTTGATGACCAACACCCTGGTGGCATAGTGGTTCCTCATCTGGCTTCGCAAGGTCAGCAGTTTGAAACCACCAGCCACCGTCCAGGAGGAAGATGGGGCTTTCTACTCCTGTAAAAAGGTACTGTTTTAGAAAGCCACAGGGGCAGTTCTAGCCTGTTCTCTCGGGTGATTATGACTTGGCATTGACGGGGTGGCAATGAGCTTGGTTTGGGTTTTGGATGACCAATGACATGTTGGACAACTTCTCGGCCGTTGGTTTTGCTTATCCATGGAGGTTTGCCTCGGGCCCCTAACAATCACCACCATTGGGTGGTTGGGCTGATGGGAAGGTCAGATCCTTCAGTGGGAGGGGCCTGGGGATCCCAAAGCCACCTGGGTGCCAGTGGCTCCCCCAGATTGGTCCAAGTGAGGCCACAGTGGTGTCAGGGGACGCCCCGTGAACGCCATGCCCCCGGGCAGCAAGAAGGCACCTCTGCCGGAAGACAGTGTCATCTCAGGTTGCCCTCGACCGCTTCTGTCTGGTTCCTGGGATCTGGCAGCTGATCTAAAGGCCCAGGGTTGTTACCACAATGCTGCCATTAGTTGAAACAAAATCATTCCTTGTAATTGGAATATCGTGACTGTAAACAACATACGTTACCGGGGCTTTCTGTTTCTTATGATTGTGATTACACTAGAATACTTGTCATTTGTATAATACCAACAAGGATCGACCAGCTCTCTGTTCCAGACCAGTAACTTCTCCTGAATGTGCTCTTTGTTCAGGAAAGAAGAAAAAAGAGGTAATCCGACATCCCTGGTGAAAATCGACGAAGCCAGTGACACGGGAAGATGAAAGACTTCCTGGGACTCAAGATGGCCCTGCACTGACCAGAGGCCACCTGGCATCCTCTCTTTGCACCCACCCCTCCGAGGGTGATGGGAGAGGAGGACCAGGGACGACAACAGAGAAGTCACTGGGGCTGGCTCTCCTGTTTACCCCAGGAGGAGGGTCTGGCCTGGATGACCAGGGTGGCTGGAGCCGGAGGCTGAGTTAGGGTTGGCCCTTTTGACGAATTATCCATTAAGCAAGGCAAGCACAGGCCTACGTGTGCTTACTGCCTAACCTGTCACAAGCAATTTCACATGTTTCCACCGCATCCGAGAAACTACTTTGACATCTGGCAGACACCCATCTCCTTCCCAACCCCACAGCGCCTTCCCACAGAGTCAAGGCCTCTCTTTAAATGTGCAGTCCCTGACAGGGACTGAGGACCCAGTCAGCCAGGTAAGCACGGGCTGACTTGTGCCTGTGTCCTTACCTATCGTGAACGATTCCACACGTTCTTTGCCTCATCAGACCCAGGCCACACTGTTCACTACAAATCGGTGAGGCAGTGCAAGCAA